CAGCAGGGTAAAGTACCAGGGAAAAGTTGGGCATATGTTGGTAAAAAGCGTGTTCCCCTTCTGTGTGTGCACGTGCACACGTTTGTGTGCATGTATGCCTGCAAACCTCAGCCACTGTAATAGCAGCTTGATTACAGTTTAAGCTTCCCTGAGTCCCTGCAGATCTCTCAGTTTGCAGAATGATGGCACTGTACACAACAGTTGAGTGATCTGAAACTTTAGTGTTTATTTTCAGCCTATGACATAGGCACTGTCTTGATATTATAAAACAGGTAAGCAATCTTCGTTCAAATTTTAAAATCTAAGGGACTCATAATTTCAAGGCCAAGATTGTCTTCATTTAAAAGTATCGACACTTTCACATATCCTGACAATTTCTGAAACAAGAAAGGTTGATGTTGCTATATTATATTGCATATTATATTAATTATGATAGACAAGCACTATCTCAGCCTAGATTCTGCTCCCACCCCTATACTCTATTGCATACTCTTCTTCACAGTGGCAACGAGTTAAGAAAAAAAAACCAAAACACAATATTGGGTTCACCAACATCACTAAGCCTTTTAGAAATTCCTTTTCAAAAGTTCGTACAGAAGTAAGACATCATTGAAGGTCACTAGCACATTAAGTATGAAGAAAAGCTTATTAGTACACTCTTTGCTGTAATCAAATCTAGTCTTGTCAGCTAAACCAAAGAGGAAGTGATCAGTTTAGAATACATCAAAAGATCTGCATGGGTTGAAAACAAAATCAAAATTTGTTTTGGTATCTGAGATGGTTAAAATGACATTCTAATTGCTCACGAATCAAACATGGCAAAGCTTAGTGTGTAATTTTAATCATTGACGAGCTCCAGGTTAATTATCCTCATGGCATGCATGCAGCTTTTAAAACCCTCTGAAATAATCTGATAACCATGGGCATAAAAACCTAATAATTTTCTAATTAGTTCACAAACATTAATGTTTACCTTTGCATTTACCAACTCTGCACAATGTATACATACTGAAGGTAGCCAAAATGCCTAAAATATAATCCGCTGCTGGACTGAAGGAAATGAAGAAGGCAGGAGTCTAGAGATTTGGAGTGTAAGCAAGGTGGTAAATAATACTAAATTAATGATGCTAGGTTAAAATATAAAATTCCAGAACCCAAGCTGTCTTTCCCCCAATGATAAGATAACCTATTAGGCTTGATGCATATATTTGATATGTGGAAGAAGATTCGCCTTAATTATAAAAAGTAATCAAAGCTTTCAAATATTTTATAGCTTCATAAAGAGTTTCTAAGCTATTTTATTATTATTTGACTTCCATTTTATCTGTACCCCTGCAACAGTTCCCAGCCCACAAAAACACTTACTAGAATTATTACACATATTCTGAATGCACCTCAAATGAGTTGTATATAATGTGCAGTTAATCATTTTGGCCAGATGCCGAATAGACTTTGCAATGTATTATTTCAGTATTTCTCTACATAAATTAGATTCCATCTTTTTATTTTCCTTAAAAGAGCCACTATTGCTATATAAAAAATTATAAAATACCACATTAAATAAATCCATCACAGGTCAAAGCAATATGGTAGGATATATATTTTACAGTACCCCATATAATTTTACATAAAATTGCCTATCAATTTCTTCTCAATAAGCTACACATTAATCAGAATCTAGGTCAAATACCTAAGTCTTCTACAGAGTAAATTTTACATTTCATTCTAAAATCAAGAATAAAAAAACTATCTAAATTTCTATAGTTGGTAATATATTACATGATTTTAAAATTTTTCTTGTGTAGCTGTTGACTATAACCATGACAATATTTATCTGTATATTCTGATGGAATTGCTTTAGTTTGTGCAGTTAAAAAGTTATTTAGACTAGTATGTACAGTGATACTAAATATGATGCTAAGTGACTTCACTGTCATCAATGTCAGACAAGGTCTTTTATCAGTGTGACCCATTTATAAATTTTACGATCAAGTTTTATAAGTCCCAGTAAAAAGACCACAAAGACAATCATTTCACTTAAACCATAGAATTCTTTCCAAAATGACTGCGTAACGCATAACAAGTTAACTCACTATAAAAGTTGCTTTGCCATTTAAGGCGGTTTCTATTTAGTCTTCACCAGTTTCTATTCTCTACTACCGAACATTCTATTTTTAAAAATCACTAAAGTCCTCATGAAATCCCAAAGAGAAAACCTAATATAATTTTAATGCTAAATTTAGAGCAATACATACCTGCTGATCAGCTTAGAGTATGTGTACACAGTTTTTGATATTCTCAGTAATTCACAAGATCAGTGACTTTGATCATTTCAAATCTCTTTTTCAGAACTAATGGACAATATGCAGAAAAGAACTTTTATTGCTCGTTCTGCTTTGCTTTCGTCTGCAGTCACTGCTGCCTAAACTCTGCTCTGCTAAATAACTATAAACCCACCTACAAGGAGCCTGGCTAATGAAAGGGGGTGCTTTCTGAACAATAGAAGAATTCCTTTGCATTCAGAAAGCAGAGTTCCCATTAGAACCCAAAATCAGAGAGGCCAGTTTTACCTCTGTTTTTTAATTGAGATTGCCCCAGCCAGCCCTCTTCTACGGTCCAGTGAGACAGTGTTTGTGAAATGATTAAAAAGAACGTGATCTGATCAAGAGGACAGAATAATGGGAAAGGAATGCTAGGTTAGCCACTCTGCTAAGTTCTGGGAAAGAAGACCAATGCACTCCTTAGCCTATTGTTTTTATTCTCATCTGCTCTTTAGCCATTTCATAACACTTTGACTCTTTATTTACTCAATCTTAAATGGGTTAAAAGTTGGCCGATTACAAGAGAATTTGGTAACAAGTTACAAATCAAAAAAATAAATAAATAAATAAAAGAAAGAAAGAAAATAAATAAAAATCCTTGAATTATATCAAGTTTCCAAAAGGTCATCACTGTCTCTGCTGTGGCCTTTTCCCCATTCCAAATCCTCTATCAATATGTCATAGTGAGTTAGGCAAAGACAAAAGAGAGGCACAGTGTGAAAACGGCACATATATCTAATCCTGACAAAGCACTGAATAGACCTTCACAAGTATAATTATACTTGTTTATTTGTTGCCACGTACAGAGAACTGATGAAAAAAATCCATCAAAGTGGTATTATGCAGACACCAAGAGCTTCTTTTCTTTGGTTGCTAAAGCCACATTGAGGCTTAAATTCCTTATTGTTAAATTCAGAAGAAAGAAAAAAAAAAAAGATTTTTTGGGGGGGTTTTTTTTTTTTTTTTTTTTTTTTGCATCAGTTGCTGACAGATCTTTTGTGTACAAGGCTGTATTAGTTCACACTGCTACCTCATTTTTACCCATGATGGAATTCATAATTACAAACTACTGTACAGAAGCTTTTAAAGGGTGTGGTGTGCTGGCCAAGAGAAGAGGGTAGTGAAATTGCCCTGTTCTCACAGTCTCTCTTTTGATATATCAAAACACAGGTAAAGTACCTGTGTGGAAGCACCAGTTAACATCAGAATGCATCTTTGATCTCAGGCTTTTAAGTTGGTGCTAGTGTTTTTCTTTAAGTCAGCTTTCTGCAGTTTGCTTATTTCAGTGTATGTTTAATATTTCATAAAAGATTGCATAACTTTTTTTCCCTTTGCAGTATTAAAACATTAGCAAGAAAAAAGGCAAATATAAAGATGTCTAAGGATTGAAAATATTAAATAAAAAGGTTCAAACTCAACTATTAAGGAGCCATTATGTTCCAATAGGCACTAAATCAAATAACTTATCAAAAGCATGTTTTTAGGGGTGGGGGCTACAAACATGCTTTCTTTTTCTTGCAGAATAGAAATATATCAAAGTAAATGCAATCTGCATAGTTAATGTTTGTGAGCTTTACAATTTAAAACAGAAAAGCTGTAATTTTTCTTTGCTGGCAATCTGGAAACACTCTGGAGCTAATTACAGCTGATTCGGAGTGAACCACACAAACAAAGACCAGT